GTGCTTCCTGCCCTTTGGTGTATTTAGTGTGGATCTCACTTGTGATCGATGTGACTTTGACTCTTTGGGCCCCTGCTGTTTGTTTGGATGTCACGTGTGACCCTGCAGGGCTCTCATCCCTCAGCAAAGCCGACTTGCTGTGAGCCACTTCCTTGCCAGCCCATGGGGTTGCAGTAGCCGAGCCCCAGCCGTTTGTTGGACCCAGGGGGCTATCCTGGCTGCGGTAGGTAGTGTGCACCTGTGCAGGCGTAGAGACCTCTGCACGGTGTGACCTTAGAGTGGTTCCCTTCTGAGAATTGCCTGGGAGAAGAAGGCCAGGACTTCTACTTTAATGAGGTTTGGGTGAAGGGGGTGAGGGTGGGGCCACTTCCTTAGCTCAGGCGGCTCACAGGTGTGCAGGGGTGGCCGAGGGACCTCCTGCTCTGCTCACGTCTGACCCTGTTTTGGTTCTTTTCTGTCCTTGCAGTTAGAGGAGGGAGGTCTGCCCTTCCGAGTGGGCTTGTCTGGAGTGGGAGTTCTGCAGGGCTGCCCCGCAAGCCACCACGGACCATTGTTCATTCTTTTCTGCTGAGCTGGCCCTTCTCCAGGCAGCACAAACCCCTGTCCCTCTCCAAGGTGACTGGGGGTACCTGATACTTTCCTCCTACTGAGACAGGTTGACCTCAGGGCGCTGGGACCCAGAGGGAGTCGAGGTTTTAGTTTTGACCAGTTCAGCCCTGATTTGGAGACCTGCCTGGATGTCAGTTGCAGCCAGCCTCAGCCAGTGCTGCTGGCTAACCTTTCAGTGCCTCAGTTTCCCTCCACCTCTGCTCTCACGAAAGATGAAAGAAGCATATTTGTTCCTTCTCATTCACCTGTTCTCCTTGGGACTTTTACCCTTGCCCCTGTGGCAGCGGTGGCTCCAAGTCCTGGCAGGAAGCCCCAGTTTCCATCAGGGATCTGAGAGGGCTGGGCTGGCCAAGGCTCTCGCCTGGGGTCTGGGGCTTCTCCCAGCCTCCGGCTTTCTTATCTGCAAAGTAGGTGGAACAGTAGTGCTTTCTTTCCTGGGTGGTTGAGAGGACTGCCCGAGATGAGGCATGTGAACTTAGACTTTTAATGGATGCTCACTGATCTTGCAAACTGGCCTTGTGAAATTTTTCGAGGGGCCTCAGCCCTCAGTCTCAGTGACTTTGTTTGTCTCAGACCCCCTAGGGAAGGCCCTTCGTAGTGCATGCTCAGTATCTGTTGAATGACACTGGATTGAATTCTTAAAACTATCTTAAGCATTTTGAGAGGACAGTGTTTACCCCAAGGGCCTTGTGGCAAAATAGTGACACCATTTCCAGTTCCCAGTGCTGCCCAAGTGCTAAAGTTATTTTCCCAGGAGGTGTGATTCACACCCGGGAAGTGCACGCTCCTACTGCCCCGTCAGAGAAGTCTGACATGAGAGCACTCCTGGCCACCCAGGCTCTACCACCGCAGAGGATGATCCCCTGTGTCCTCCTAATCAGTGCCTTCTTAGACCTCCCCTGAATCCCTTGCTGGGCTCTCTCCTTCCTACTTCTGTCCCCAGGGCTGGGTTCCTGGCTGACTGTGAGTCTCTGACCACCATCTGCACCCTCTCCCCAGTTGGGCAGGACTCCTGTGTATACCTCACACTGGACCCTCTCTCCTGCTTGGAGGCACAGAGCTGAAGGATGCCCTGTTTCTAGTTTGCCTGGGACTGCGGTACTTCTGGTCCTTGAGAAGGTGCACCTCCCCTCAGCCAGCCCCTGGCTCCGTCAGCGCCCAGTGAAAAGTGATAAAGGCCAGGGACCCTGAGAGTGCAGGCTGTGTGGCTGCCAGAGGGGCCTTGAGAATCAGGCCTGCAGAGGACTGAACTTGAGCCTCAGGATACTGACTTGTAGCATGAGGATGCTGAGGACTTGAACTGTAGCTCACAGGGTTGGAGGGGTGGTGGGTGATTGCAGGAGAGGAGAGAATGTGTTACTTTTTTCTGCTTGGTGGGAATTGGACAACAGCCAGCTGTTCCCCCTGCCTGTTGGGGTGTTTCCATCATCCTGAGCATGTGGTGGCAACTGTGTTGGAAGGCAGGACAGACTCAGAAGAATGGTGGCTTTGACGGAACTCTCCTTAAGGGGAGTCTGGTAACAATAAAACCCTGTCTGTAGAGTTGCCCTGTCAACTCCCATGGGAACTTCCAGTGTGAAAGTTAGCAAGTGGCAGAAAGTGAGGCCCAAGAAGCCTGCTGGGGTCGGAGTGCACCATATTGAGGGCAGTTGGATGTGTTGGAGGAGTTTTGAGCAGGGGAGCAATGGGATCCCCAAACAGACTGAACTTGTGGACTGGGCAGGGGCAGTGGCGAGGTAGGTTCTGGCTGGGGGTTGAGGGGGACAGGAAGAAGGGGCAGGAACAGGTCAGATTTCCAGCCTGTGAGGCCTGCTGTTCACCGTGAGGCAGGTTCCTTCACCCACTCTAGATGGCCGGGCGGGACCAGAGCCGCTCCAAGTGGTTCCCCAGGTCACTGTTCCCTCTCCCTCCCGTAGCTCCTGACCCGCCAGTCAGCCCCATCACAGCCTCTCCGGGACAGGGCCTTGCAGTCAGACGTGCTCAATACAGGATTCTTATCAGACAGAAGCTAGAGTGTGCTCTGGCTCAGCTCCAGCTTCCGGAGGCTTAGGAGCTGAGGCGTGGACGTCTCTCTCTAGGTCAGTGCAGCCTGTTTGAGGCCTGTTCCAGTTTTTGTCCGTCATGAGTGGCTTCACCTTGCCTGGTGTGCTCTCCAGGGGAACGTAAAACTCCTGTCACAGGGTTTTGTGAGGTGCCTGCAGCTCTGACTGAGGCTCAACTTGGACAACACAGAGGAAGCTGGAAGGCCAGGTGNGAGGTACAACTTGGACAACACAGAGGAAGCTGGAAGGCCAGGTGTGGTTTGCATGCCTGCCAGATGGGTGTTAGCAGTGCCCACAGGGTGCCCAGAGGCTGTGGTCAGCCTGGGCGAGGCTGAGTGTCCAGTGTCACTCTTCTCGCTGTTGGCTGAGCTCTCTTGTTTTGTCAGTTTTCATTAGTGTGCTTGTGTGCTCCTGTGGTCACCTTCCCTCGGCTGTTTCTTCCACGTGTCCACATAACGGGGCACCTTCGGCTCCTGCTGGCTATCCATCCTTCACTCACTCTTAAGTTGGTCTGAATCGGGGTGCTTGCTGTCTGCATGGCTCTACCCTCGGCCATACGGAGGTGAAGGTTCGTGCTTCACCTGGCTGACTGAAGGACATGCTGGGCCGCGCCCTCCACACTCAGTGCCGTTCTGGAATCCTCCCGCTGCCACACTCAGCAGCATTGTCTGGATGGCAGCCTGAGTTATGCCAGGAACATCTTGGTGGAGCAAGAGTGGAGTGGAGCCCTGGCCATGTGGCTCAGTGGTCAGGGTGTGGGCCTGCGCACAGAAGGGTCGCGAGTTCGATTCCAGGTCAGGGTACATACCTAGGCTGCAGTTTTGGGGCGTGTACAGGAAGGCAATTAATTGATGTTCCTCCCCCTGCCCCTAGAATCAACAAGCATGTCCTCAGGGCAGGATTAAAAAAGAAAGAGTGGACTAGAGGCTGCTGCCTGCCCTCCGGAGCTTGGGGACCCTGGGGTATCATCTCCTCCCCAAGCCCCCAGAAGTGGGAGGCAAATACTTCTTGAGAGAATGTTCTACATCCTAAAGCAACAAAACCAAACAACAAAACCACCATGAAAATAGACATCATGGGGAAGATGAGAACCCTGACGGACTTAGACTTATTTTACAGGTTAGACTTATTTTCACTTGGAACTGCATGCGGAGAGTCAGCAGGGTGCGTTCTGTGCTCTGGGCCTCTAACGCCCTTTCTAAAAGAGAGAGAGGTACAGAGAGTAATGCAGGACTCAGAAAACACTCACCCCTCAAAATGGTGGGGGCATCTCATCTTCTTTAGAGAAAGAAATCAGTGTTGACAGAGTTCAGCTGTTCTCTCTTGACCCTAGAGGCAGGGGTTCTCAGCCGTGGGCAGTTCTGTCCCTGGGGGACATTTGGGCACGTCTGGAGACATTTTTGGTTGTCACAACTAGGGAGAGCTACCTGTATTAGTGGGTGGAGGCCGGGCACACGGAACACTCACCGTGCAGGGCATGGCCCGCCCAGAGTGACCAGCGCAGGCGCCGTGGAGAACGAGACACCCTGCTGCAGGTGCGGCAGGCAGCGTGCCAGCCGAGTTAGCACACAGGGAGCGTGTAGTCCTGTGGTTGGCTGTTGTTTTCTGAAGGTGGGTGCATGTGCTCTGGGGATTCTGCAGCTTGCTGTGTTTAGTTCACATGTTTTTAGAGTATCACATGCTGATACATATATCTAGTTTATGTTAAATTCTGTAGCTTAGCTAGTTAGGAATGGGCCACATTTGGTGTATCCATTCTTCCATTTTCATTGCAAGTGTGTGGATAGGAAGATTTTTGCACAGGCACTTGGCTCACACATGTGAGTTTCTCTTTGGCCACGTGGGAGCCCATCCTCTCAGTTCACAGCCTTATCAACACTCAGGACTGTGGGTTGCTCAGTCTGTTGAGAAGAGGCACACTCGTGGTGTTTAGCCTGCATTTACCTGTTGCTGGTGAGGCCTTCACCTCTTCACAGGGTGTGGTCCCTGCCCAGCCGGCAGGATCCCAGGCACAGCTCTCCAGTGATGCAGGTATCAGCCCCAGGGTGGTCACTTCCCCTTGGGGTGCCAGACACTCCTCTGAGCCCGGGGCCCTGCACATTGCTCTCTGCAGCTTGCCGGGCTCCCGACACGGTGCGACACAGCATGACACGGCTGACTGGGTTTCGGCTCTTTGACTTCAGTTTTAGGAGATTGCACCGTAGTGACCTTTGCTGGACTTGCATGTGCCTGAGCTGAGCCTCCCAGTGTGTTCCCGGAGGGTGACTTCTGAGTTCTGGGGGCTTGTCACTCTTTGGGCTTCCCCATGTGTGGGCCAGGAAGGGGATGGTGGGTCTCCTGCTGACACTGGCTCTGTTCCTGCAGGCAGACCTCTGCATTATGACCCGGCTGCTGGACTACGTGGACCCCTCAGACCCCTGCTTTGTGGCTGCTATCCTTGCCATCATTTTCAATCCACTCTTCTGGAATGTGGTGAGTGCCCGTGTCCTGCCGCCGTTGGGGCGGGCTGTACAGACAGGGAACCCGACCACTCTTTCTGCCCTGTGTCTGTGGTCAGTTGGAACCATTATTTTTGCTTTCTCTTTGAGGTTGGCATCCAGGCAGGGGATGCTGACCAGGGAAGCCCCTCATCTTGGGCATCCCACCATGTCTTGGCATCGCCAGGTGGCGCTGGGCTGCTTCTGGGAAGGTCTGGGGCAGCAGGGATGACTTGCCCGGGCTGCCAGCTGTGCCTGCTGATGCCACTCAGTCTTCCAGCCAGTGAGGAGGACTGATTCAGTTTAGGGCTTGCTTCCCTCTGCCATGCCAAACAGGTAAGCGCCTTCTCACCGTGCTCCATAAACATGACCATTTGTCCTAAATGGGGCTTCCTGCTAAACAGTGTGCATGCCACTGCCTTTGGTACGCTGGGCGGCAGGGACAAGCCCTGAGAAGTGAAGTAGGGGGCAGCCCACCCGCTCTTCTGTGGGGCAGAGGACACTGGGAGGATGAGAGCAGGGGTGGGGCAGCAAGGGAGGCCCGGGAGGGAGGACAGGCCCTCCTGCTGTAGCGTTTCCCTGAGACATCCCGTTGCCACTGGGTGTGGGGGCAGCTGTTGGAGTTTCACGCCAGACTCCCCATGGTGCCCCCTCTCGGGGGAGGGAAAGGGCAGCACAGTGCTCTGGGCGCTGCCCCGGTCCCTGGGGCTGCATGCCGGGGTTTGCTGATGCAGAGCCTGGACAGCCTGTGCTCACCCCTGAGTGTAGCCGGGAGAGGAAGGCCCAGCCCAGCGTTAGCAACACCTTGTTCCAGACTGTCTTCATTTCAGGTGGCCACCTGGTCCTAGGGGCAGAACAGGACATGTTTTTCATCTGGTTTATGAATTAGGTCTTTTATCCATCTGGGGAGGTTGGGGTAGGTGAGGTTGCTCATCTCAAAGAGGCTGCATTCTGAACGCCCTGTCCCTCCTGTCCTGAGCACGCTGGACCTGCCCTGAGGGGGTCGGGCCAGCGTCCTGTGTGAGGGCACTGAGGGGTGTGGGAGCTCTGAGGGACAGAAGTCCCGAGCTTGCTTTGTCAGGCCTCCTGGGACCCTAGCCACACTGCGGGAGGCCTTGGCCCCTCCACCCGTGGTGCCTGCCCACAGGAGCTGGCGTGGGTGGCCAGAGTGCCAGCAGAGCCCCTCAGCCCTGCCTTGCTTGGTTCTGCTCCTCCTGAGCTCCCTCTGCCAATGCACCGCCCCCTTCCACCTCACCTTTTCAAGGTAAGAGGGTGTAGCACGCTGAAGAATGGCCCCTTCCAGATGTCCACACCTAAACCTCAGAACTGTGAAGGCTACTGTGTATGGCAGAAAGGTCGGGGGGCGGGGGCATTGCAGGTGTGACTGAGTAAAGGGGCGATTGAGATGGGGCGATTGTCCTGGATGTTGGAGTGGGTCCTTACTACAGTCAGGTGTACCCTTGTGAGAGGGAGGCAGAGGGGGATGTGGAGATGCTGGCCTTAAAGATTGGGGTGATGTGGCCAAGAGGGGAGGAAGGCCATAGCCACCAGAAGCTGGAAGAGGTAAGGAATGGATTCTCCCCTAGAGCCTCTGAAAGGAGCGAGGCCCTGCCACGTCTTCATCTGGACCCAGTGTTACTGATTGCGGACTTCTGGCCTCTAGAACTGAGAGAATATATTCCTGTGGTTATAAGCTACCCAGTTTGTGGGAATTTGTTAGAGCAGCCGCAGAAAATTAGTATGGGTATTAAAAGGCTGTTGTTCCCTGCTGGCAGACACCAGGGTCTGTTGGGAATGTGTGGTGGTCTTCCCGGTCCACCGGCCCTTCCCTGCAAGCCTGGCCTTGACCAGTAGTCATGCTGGTTCTCCCAGCGCTGGGGGCTTGGCCTGACCCATGCACAATGGGTCCTGGGGACACTTCATCATGCACAGGCCCCTCCACTTCCTGCTGGCCCTTTCAACAGCGTGTGTGAGCTCATTTTGAAGCCACTGGTGGCTGTGTGGTTACAGTGCGTGAGGTTTGGAAGTCAGGCAGCATATGTCTGTGCATTTGTCAGAAGGCTTTTTTTCTTTGTCATAAGTTTTTTGATTTGCCTTATTTTTGGAAAAAATATTCACTGGACTAGTTTGTGGTCATTTGTGGGAGAGCGAGGGCTCTTCAGAGTCAGTTTAGAATAAGGAAAGTTATGGACACATGTTGCAGTTCATAGAGCCACTGCCAGGAGAGCGGTGACAGACACTGGAGGGCAGGAAGCACGGTGGAGGCGAGGTTGGATCCCAGCTCGGACAAGAATCCCATCCCGGAGCAGTGACCTTGCCTCAGTCCTCCGCGTAGCTAACTCAGTGCTTGGCAGGACTTTCTGTGCCTGTGCTGAGTGCATTTCATGTAGCATTTCAGTTAATGGTCACAGTAAAGGCTGTTTTTCTTTCCCTTGGAAACCAGGGCTTGAAGAGCTTCACTCATTTCACTCAGGCACCGTCCTGAACACAGGAGCCCACAGCCCTGGGCCTCATGGTGCTGGAATTCTAGGAGGGGGACAAGCAGGGCAAGCAGAGGCAGAGACAGGGAGGGCTGGGCAGGGGAGACCTCCTCCACCTCTGAGGGAGGAAGCCCTGGGTATCTGGGGAAGAGGAAACAGCAAGTGCAGAAGTACGGAGCAGTGACATCATCCCAGCAGAGGGCTGATGGAGGGCAGGCCCCAGGGGCGCTCCAGCAGTGGCCCGGCTTTGGGCACTGAGCTGGCAGCCATGGCATGAGCAGCCCGGCCTGACCCAGGTTCTCAAGGTTGATGTGGGCTCCTGTGAGAACAGGTGAGGGCAGGGGCAGCTGGGAGGCTGTCACAGCGAATGAGGCCCAAGATGTGCACCAGAGTGGCACTCGCGGGGGTGGTTGAGGTAGTTAGATTCTGGGCACAATTTGAGGAAGAGTCACCTGGAATCACCATGGTTTGGTGGTAAGTGCAAAAGAGGAGGCATGGCTTGCTCCATGGTTGGGACCTGAGTGACTTATTAGTAAGAAATATACAATCAAAACCCAGAAGGACTGGCGTCGGAGAGCATCTGGGTGGGTGAATATGTGGAGAAGGGACAGTGGCGCACCCAGAGAGCGTGGAAGCCCGCGTCCTTTCCCTGTACCTCGACCCATGCCTCTTCCACCTGGCTGTTGACTTGTATTCCTTTTTTTAAATTCCATCTCTTATTTTTTTAAAAAAATATATCTTTATTGATTTCAGAGAGAGGAAAGGAGAGGGAGAGAGAGGTAGAAACATCAATGATGAGAGAGTTATTGATCAGCTGCCTCCTGCACACCCGACTGGGGATCTTGCCCGCAACCCACGCATGTGCCCTGATTGGGAATCGAACCTCGATCTCCTGGATCCTAGGTCAACGCTCAACCACTGAGCCACACCCTTGCCGGGCCAGTCTCTATTTTTTAAAAAATGTTTTAATTTATCTTTATTGTCAAAAGTATTACAAATGTCCCCTTTGTTCCCCCATTGAGTCCCTCCACCCTGCACCCACCCCCACCCAGGCCTTCACCACACTATGGTCTGTGTCCATGGGTTGTGCATACATGCATATAAATTTTTAGATTAATCTCTCCCCACCCACCCCTGCCTTCCCTCTGAGATTCNTTGCCCGCAACCCGCGCATGTGCCCTGATTGGGAATCGAACCTCGATCTCCTGGATCCTAGGTCAACGCTCAACCACTGAGCCACACCCTTGCCGGGCCAGTCTCTATTTTTTAAAAAATGTTTTAATTTATCTTTATTGTCAAAAGTATTACAAATGTCCCCTTTGTTCCCCCATTGAGTCCCTCCACCCTGCACCCACCCCCACCCAGGCCTTCACCACACTATGGTCTGTGTCCATGGGTTGTGCATACATGCATATAAATTTTTAGATTAATCTCTCCCCACCCACCCCTGCCTTCCCTCTGAGATTCTTCAGTCTGTTCCACGCTTCTATGTCTCTGGATCTAATCCATCTTTTTTTAATGCTCATGGTATTCAGAATGGTCAGCATATTTCTTTTATCTTTTAGTTTGTTTATTTATATTTATTTATTTATTTATTTATTTATTTATTTATTTATTTTAAATATGTCTTTATTGATTTCAGNTGCTTGACATGATTTCAATCTTCTTGAACTTGTAGAGACTTGTTTCTGTCCTAACATATGGTCTGTCTTTGAGACTGTCCCATGTGTACCTGAGGAGAATATTCTACAGCTTTGGGATGAAATGTTCTGTAAATGTCAATTAAATCCATCTGATCTAGTGTGTCATTTAGGTTCATTGTTTCCTTGTTGATTTTTTGTCTGGAAGATCTGTCCAGTAAAGTCAGTGGGGTGTTAAAGTCACCTATTATGACTGTCTTGCTGTCAATCTCTCCTTTGAAGTCCTCCAGAAGGTTTTTTTCAGCCTATTTGAGGCTTTCGTTCTGAGGTGGGCCTCTTGTAGATGACATATATTTGGGTCTTGTTTTCTTATCTATTCAGCTACCGTATGTCCTTTGATTGGAACATTTAATCTATTTACGTTTAAGGTTATTATTGATAGGTACTTATCTATTGCCATTTAAAAAATATGTCTTTATTGATTTCAGAGAGAGGAAGGGACAGGGAGAGAGAGAGAAACATCAATGGTGAGAGAGTCATTGATCAGCTGTCTGCTGCATGCCCCCCACCGGGGCCCGAGCCCACAACCTGGGCATGTGCCCTGACCCAGAATCAAACTGCAGTCTCCTGGATGAGCATAGGTCGATGCTCAACCTTTGAGCCACACCTGGCCAGGCACCGTTTAATTCTTTATGCTTGTTTCTCTCTCTCCATTTCTGCTTCTTGTTACAGCAGTCCCGTTAACATTTCTTGCAGTGCTGGTTTGGTGGTCATAAACTCCTTTAGCCTTTTTTTAAATCTGGGAAGCTCTTTATTTCATCATCTATTTTGAATGATAGTTTTGCTGGGTAGAGTAGTCTTGGTTTTAGATCCTT